AGCTTACAATTAATATTGGTAGTGGCAATACCACGTCACGTTGAAACCAGAAAAATAAACTCACCCCTGAGGTGAGGGGATACAATAATGGTGTGTAAATTGTTCCTTCAGGGCTCGGATTTGAGGATCCTGAGTCGGAATCTCCGCAACGTCGTGTTTCAATAAGACTAGAGAGGAATTAGATATACTAGGATAAAAATGGTTAGGGAGTAGGATTTTCTAAGTCTATAACTTGGTTGTCAGCTTGCTACCTACAGCCCTTTTACGAAGACCCAAACACATCTGCCACTGCACTACCTACCTACTTAGGTCCTCTCTTCACTTGTCTGGGCCTGCTAGAATAGGCTAATACTAACAAGGTCACCTTAGCAGAGACTGTGCCCACCATTTCGGAACTTCGCGGTGACATTTAAGATGGTTCCAATAGAGAACGGGATAGCGGGTGACCACATCCCTCGTGACTCATCGGAGCAGAGGAATATATGAATAGGAAGATATGACTAACGCAAAAAAAAATATAAGAAACTCAACAGAAGCATGTCTTCTCAATAATTATTTACATAAATACCATCTCACATCTTCACTCAGATCTATCACCACCATCATAATAAAATCCCCATTGCTCTCAGATCCTTGACATGCATCTATACATGTATTTATTTTGAATATCTGTATGTAACAGTTACTTACATGTTATAACAGTAATGTACGTACCGATAATATACTATTAGACACTATCATACGTACAATTTTCTACAAATCAGATGGCGTCAATGTAATAGAAATGGACAAGATGCAAAAGAGACCAACCAACAAACAAACAAACAAACAAATAAAAAAAGATAGAAACAATCATGCAGACACCTGTAAACAAATAATATATCACCCCGGTTAATCCACGATACTTCACGTCCTCCTCACCTTTACTAAGGGAACCCTGCCCTCTTTCTCTGTCTCTGTCTGACTGTCTGTCTGTCTGTCTGTCAGTCTGTCGGTCTGCCTGTCTGTCTGTGTGTCTGTCTGTCTGTCTGTCTGTGTGTCTGTCTGTCTGTCTGTCTGTCTGTCTCTCTCTCTCTCTCTCTCTCTCCAAGTTTTTGTTTCGATTTCCTTCAATGAACATGATTTGTGTCTCTTTACTGTCTTTACATTATTCGTTTTTCTGTTCATTTCTTCTACGCTTTTTTTTTCCTGCGGGTGGTTGGCGGGTGCTCTGGTGTGGTTTGCTCCTTCTTTGCTACCAAAACATCTATCGTCCTTATGTCTCCTCCTTCTTTTTCAGGTATGTTACTCTCTTGTAACACATCTATTCTTAGACACTTTATGACCTTATTGTGTTGCAAGAGCCGTAACACTCTTACGAAAAGAAAACATTTTTTCCACCTCAAACTAGTACATTGTATCAGGAATCTTCCCATCTTCCTCTTCAGAACCACAGACAACAAAAACCCTCCTATAATTTGCTACGTGAGGTAACCCGATCCCTCTCTAAACTCTCTGTTGCCATCCCGCTCCGTCAAGACCCTGACCCGGGTGGATTAGACACAAAGGCCCAGGTATCTCGAGTCCTTCCGAACTGAGCCCGTCACAACAAGACAAACGCCAAAACAACGCAAACCGTTCTCCACAGGAGCCTCATTTCGCCCTCCCCTTCCACCCCACCCCCTTTTCTCCCTACCTCAATCCGTTCCCCACCACCCTCACCCACACCAACCCAAAACCCCAGTCTATGCCTCTACCATAGATTTATACCAGTAGGCTGGATACAGTACTCTCTCTCTCTCTCTCTCTCTCTCTCTCTCTCTCTCTCTCTCTCTCTCGCCTTGCTACGCAATGCCCAAGAAGGATAGTGGGGATCAAGTGGTACGATCGAGTCATAAATGCTCAACTGTGGGAAAGAATAAGCCAAAGGCCAGTATAGGAAGACATACAGGTGAAGAAATGGAAATGGATTGGGTACACCCTGAGGAGACCCCCGACAAGCATTAACAGACAAACTTTGGCGTGGAATCCACAAGGAAAACATAAAAAGGGAAGACCAAAGATGGCATGGAGGCGAAAGGTACAAGCAGAAATGGAAAAGGCGGGGACATAATGGAAACAGCTAGAAAAGGATGCACAGGACAGGCTTCAGAAATGTTGTTGGTGGCCTATGCTCCACTGGGCGTTAAAAAGGGCAAGAGAGAGAGAGAGAGAGAGAGAGAGAGAGAGAGAGAGAGAGAGAGAGAGAGAGAGAGAGAGAGAGAGAGAGAGAGAGAGAGAGAGAGAGAGAGAGAGAGAGAGAGAGAGATCTCGAGTCCTTAAAGAGCCCGTCACAACAAGACAAACGCAACAACACAAACCGCTCTCCACAAGAGCCTTATTTCACCCTCCCCCCTCCCACTCCCACCCCTTTCTCCCTACCTCAATCCGTTCCTCACAACCCTCACACCAACCCAAAACCCAAGCCTATGCCTCTACCATAGATGTATACTAGTAGGATAGATACAGTACGCCTCTCTCT